GAAAAGTGGCGGGGTGGGCGCTTACTGACGAGCTTCACACCGCCGTTACCCAGCTCACCTTGGCGGAACGGCCCTTACGCGTGGTCGACTCCTTCAAGCTCGTCGGAAGTTACATCAACGCCGAGGCAGCGCGGGCTCCAGCCGCGCTCAACCTCACGGCCACCGCTGACGCCCGTGTTCGCAGGGCGACTAGTCGCCTGCCGCGTATTGGCAAGCTCCCATCTCCGATGCGTATTAAGGCGCGGCACGCCCGCTCCCTTGCTGCCAGCGTCTGTACCACGGGCACTGACATCCAAGCCCCATCAGGCCCCGTCAAAACTGCCTACAACCATGCCTTAAGGCGGCTATCCGCCCCAAGGGAAACAGGTGGGTCGAGTTTTGGACTCTCATAGCCGTGTGCGTCCCAGGGCACGCCCTGGAGATTGACGCCATTATGCAGCGTGAAGTCTTCCTGTGCCTGCGGCGTCAGGTCAACCGCGACGCCACTCTCTGCGGCCTCGTCAGGGATCTCCAACACCATGTCCAGACCCTTTTTGGCGGAGGACCTGTTGGACGACTTGTTCAGACGCTTCAGCAGCTCCGTTGGACTTGGCCCACATTTGGCACCATGTACGACGACTGGGGCTGTCAGATCAGTTGGCTGAACCTTCCCCAAAACGCCTTCCTTCACATGCTGCGCGCCTCGAAACGCAGAGCCTTTCTCAGAAAAATCAAGCCACGGCGTCATGACCTTGGTCACCTTGCTTCGGTCAGACAGGGCCTCGACCTTTTCGCCAGAACGTGGCTCGCCCGCACCAAAGGAGCTGCCAAATGCAACGCATGGCAGCTGGCGCTCCTCTTAAACTACCTGTCGGGCGGGGACCACACCCAACAGCGACGTTCTCGATCAAATACGTCCGCTGATCCCAGCCCTATTTGCCGTTACTGTGATGAGGAAGAGGAAACTCAGGAGCACACTGTGCGTGAGTGCAAGTGCTGGGCCCGTGAAAGAGTCCCTCTCACCACCCTCATCAGTGACGAGCAGTGGGTACGTCTTCCTCCGCA